ATTGGGGAAGGAAGGGGGGAGATGATTTCCACTAAATTGGTAATGCTTACCAGTGATACTGAGCAGTAACATTTTGATGTTGTCTGACACCAGATGATAAATCACTTTCTCATTAAATGGGAAAGTGGCAGATATATGAGGTAACAGCCAGCTTCTCAGTGTGGAAGTAATACCACTTTCTCATTTTGCAGGGTAGATCTTCCCTGCTTCTTTTAAAGAAGACACTGTTTTAAAAAAAAAAAAGAAAAATATGACCTTGGGAAGATTTTCTACATATGGCATACAGAAACTGTTATTCCCAAGAATCCACAGCTCCTAAGTGTTTCAAAAACAGGCACAGAAGAATGAAAAAACCAGACAGGTGACAATAATGGCATCAGAAAAATACCTTAATGCCCCGTTCAAGTATTTTACATTCAAAGCACAAGTTACGACTCATAAATTTCATTAAATCTACCTAATTTATACCAGAATCCATTGCCTCTTTGTATTTCAAGGGAACAGAAATACATGAGAGATTCTGGACAAAAGTGATATTTCTTGTAGGAATAAAATCCAAATAGAAAAAGAGAGAGACTTAGGCTTAATCTTCCTTACTATTTGATAAAAAAAGCATTTTCTGAGTAAAGGTACAAGTTATTTGTGGTTTTGATCACTCCAGTACACTATTCCATACCTAAGAGCAGAAAATGTTTCAAATATTTAACAAATCAAGGCCAATTATACAGAATAATTGAATTCTTAATATAAAGCCTAAGAGACTTTATTCTTCTAATGTTACTTGCTGCTGATGTGAATACCATGAGAAGAGATAAAGCCACAGACCTGTTAATACAAAGAAGACAGTTAAAAATTACTTTCAGTTTTGAGAAAAACACTAGGCTCTGAATATAAGTTAATTATTAAAGTTCGATTCCTTTTCCCAAAAAAAAAAGTTATTTTAATTACTGCTTTTTTATTCCAAGTGTCTGCTTAACTTAAGAGAAGAAATTACTTTTTATTTGAAGTATTGCCTACTAGAAATAAGAGTTACTCAAGGGCAGTGTTTTATTGATAAAGCTTTTTTCTTAATAATCATTATATGTCATAACATTTCACAGGATTCATGAGGTTCATATTTTTTCAAAGGCAGAAACAACTGGAAGTTCTGATCTGAAGCTAACAAAAAGCCCCGAAGCACTGTCTAAAGTTGGAGTCATTTTTGCATTTTAAACCTTAGATATAGTAAAAGTCAGGTCTCCATAAAAGTAGGAGAGGTTATTTGTTACCATAAGAGCCACCATTTTTAAACTGTTATGAGTATTTGCATACATTTACATGCACTGAAAGCACAGCCATTCAGAACAAGCAAGGTTCATTATGAAGACAAACATGCTGAGTATGACTGACTGACAATCTACACAATGGCTGATTTAAACTTTACATTCACCAACCATTTTTCTAAGGAGGAGGAGGAACAGCTAAAGGATGCCTTATATTTCTCATGCCACTTTTTATTCTTCATAAACCCTGGGGTTTATCAAAACCTCATCTCACCTCTCTTAAGGTGAGAGAACACACCAAGCAGCCCGTTCAGCCTGTGGAAAACCTTTGCTATGGTCCCTGACTTCTAGCAGGCAAGCTTAAATGAATCTCTCTAAAGCAGTGGAATAGGTAGGAAAACTGGTTTATCAAAAAGACATACACAGTTCCCTTCAACAGTTCAACTTTAAGGCATGTCTGCATGCATTCCTACTGCCTGTGACAATAGTAACACTTCCTTTCAGCCTAATAGGTCCTGAGCCCCATCCTTTGTCTGCTGATTAACTGCTCTATTCATTGACCAGACCACTAATTGCATGCTCCTTATAGTTACCCTACATTACTGTAAGAATTAATGAGACACAATTACAGCTCCCAGAAATCTCAGGCCTAGCCAACTGCAAAGCACTCCAACTGAATAAGAACTCCCCAAGAATAAAGAGAAAAATTCAGCCCATTGTTCACAGGAAGCAGAATGTTTTTTGTTAAAAAATTGTATTTATTTGAAGCTGTTTCATAATTAGGCCCTGAAGAAAAAAAAAAAAAAAAAAAAGGAGAGAATAGAGAAAGAACTTGGGAACCAGCATTCACTGAGAAATCACAGCAGATGCAAAGAGACAAGCACACAGTTCAGATATGAAGAAAAAAAAACATAAGGAAGGAGTGCATAAAAAAATAATGCCATGAACACTACAAACATGTATAACCAATCAGCTGTTTAAAAAGAGCATGATCCACTGTATGGCAACCACCACTAATACAACCTTATATTTGACAGCTTCAATCTTGAACAATTTAAAATAATCATATAGGAAGATTCTGCAGTCATGTCTACTATGAAATGGAAGGAGAGGAATTTAATTTCTCACTCTGAGTTTAGTATGCATTAAAAGTCAGTGTCATTAGCCATGAAAGTCAAAATGAAGGACAGAAAATGAGTTTTTTGAAAATCACCCATATTGAAAACTGCACTCACATTTAATCTGTGTAATCAACAGCCACAGCTACTCAAAGTCTTAGTGACTACAATCACTACCTATTAGCCTGTAAGTAGTTCAAAAGCTATTATTCTCACTTGAACAATTTTCCAATACACATGAGATAGCATTAAGTTAATCAAGTTAATATGCAAAGCCAATATTCTTTGTTATGAAGTCATCTTATTCCATTGGTTCCTCTCCAACATATTTTCACCATATAAATTCGATTTAAATTACATGTATAGTTTGACAAAGCCACTGATACTTAAAATAGGGCTTGAAATGCAGCACTATATTTTATAGCCCTAGTAACCATTTTCCAGGGTACAATTTACAGCAGCCACTGAGACCCCAAACTAAGCATGTCAGACAGGCACTGCTACATTCCAGAATCAACATCTTTGGACAGAGACAACATTTTTTGTACGTCTCTGCAGGGATTCTCAATAATTGCGCCTAACTGCTGTAATAGCTTAAATTCATGGGAAATGGATGTTCTTCTGATATTATCACTCACTGATATCACAGCAGAACGCTTTCCTGCATGAAGCAGACAGTTACCACCGTGTGGTGCTGAATCCCAAGCAGGAAACAAGGCACAAATATGGATCAGAGACCTTTGTGTTCAGTGTATAATAAGTCCAATATCTCTGTCATAGAACAGCAATCATTAACTCGGGGATCTTTTGTTAAATGGCCCCTGTGGCTGGACTGGTAACAGCAGGGATCAAATTTGCAATCCTCAAGACTAGATTCATCTGTCAGGGAGTCTGCAGGCCTACAGATTCATGCATTTCCAAAGTGAGTCTCCAGGACTTCACATGAAAATACCAATTTCAATTAACCTTGGCTGATTAATCAACCTCAGTGCATGGCCACAGAGCTTCCATACTCAGATCTAGCTCTGGCAGTATTATTTGAAATGGGCTTTCCACATGTCTTGAAAAAACCTTTGAGGAAAAAAGAAACCTTTGTCTCAAATAAAACATCACCGAGCTTGTTCAAGCTGTTCCCGTTTCAAGCCCAAAAATAGAACAAGTCTGAATTCCTGCAGAGTGTGATGTGAAATTATTTCTACTAGTGCAAATAACGTATTCTGGTATCTGGTCCAGCCTTTATTTCAGATGTTATGAAGTAACTTAACCAATACAAAATATTCACACACTGGAGGATAGCTGTAATTTCTAGTTAGGGTGTCTCTCTCTCCATAAAGGAAAAGGAGTCCTTCCTGCAACAAACATTATGAGCCCACACTTCAGGGCATCAATTCTAAGGCAGAACTTCTAAATGAAAGATAACTAAAGGCATACAGGAAGAGCATTGTAAGAGACAAGGGAAGGTTTCAAGTCATAACCTAAGCTCACTCAAACCATTTCTACCTCCTGTTCCACTACCAATTTCTTTAGAACTACTTGTTATTTACGGTAGTGCATATAGCACCAGCAAAGGACAATCCTGATCCACCAGGTGTTCCCACATGCTTATTTATGCTGGAGCTGATTCACCCAAGGAAAATTCTACTTTTCTACTTCTCATCCTTTAGTTGCATGTTGCACTATTAGGGAGCTTTCTTCCCTCCTTTTCATTGTTATATCCACATCCAGCCCCCTTTCTTCCTGAAAGTAGTTCAGTTAAGCAAAGGTTTTGTCTATACCACCTCTTGAGTGTGGCCCCAAAAGTATCTTCAAGACTAGAACCATCAACAGGATAGATGCCAAACATGAAAATTCCTGCATTGTCAGGGACTTGCAGCTGCAAGACAAGCCTGTAGGCAGAAGATGAACAGGAGACCATGGCACTATTCTTAGAGTTGCTCTGGGGGTCATTCTTGGGAGCAATGTAAGCATAAGCTGTGATGTATCATCTGTGTGTGCAGTGATAAACTGGCATATGGGTCCCTACAGGATGAGGCTTACAGGTGATTTACACTAGAAAGGTTAATATAGAAATTACACTAACAAGACTCTTCTTCTCAAGCAACCTACACCTATCCCTCAAGAGAAGTAAAATGTACAGGTAAAAGAACTTCTTAGGCAGCTTCTGCACTGGGGTTTTTGCTGGCATAGCTATGTCAGCAAAAAATTCATATCCCTCCCTGACAGGCCTCCTTGATAACACTTTCAAGTGCAAACCAGGTGTCAGTATTTCTGTTATTACAGAAAGAGTTCTACACTAGTCATGAGCTGAATATTTGGCCTTTCATGACCTGGAAAAGTCCTTGCTTCCAAGGAGGTCAAATCCCGTGATCATGTTTTCCACCAGCATAATCTCTCATGACCACAGTACTAGTATGGTACTGTATTAACACATATAGAGTAGGAGAAAATATATCAGTAGCCAACTATTTATATTCTGTATTCCCATGTAAAAATTATCTATTTACACTACATTAATACCATAAAAAAATCCAGTGAATGGGAAGGACCAACAGTTCTATGTAAAAATTTGCTGTGATTTTTAGATTAGTCTAAAAAATGTTTAAATCTACTAATCTCTGGACATTTCAGTTGGTTATATTTGGCACTCAGAAATATTTAGGTAATTCTAAGAAGAGATTGAATTCCCAGATGCATCCCAGATCATGGAAGAAGCCGACCAAGAACAAACATCTTTCATTTTATTCAGCTTCATTAGGTAGAAAGTTAACGATACTGGTTTGAAAGCAGCTAGATATCTTTAAAGACAAGACAATTCAATGCATAAATCTACCACATGGCTTTAGGCAACAACACCAGAGCTGAAGAGATGATTGCAAGAAGACATGCTGCCACAGGCAGAGTTGCAGAGGGTCCCTCAAGGATCACCAGTCTTGTACCTGTTCCTAACATAATTTACCATATTCTCTCTGACTCCAGTTACTCTCTAATCCTGTAAGATTGTTTATGGAATATGTTTAGGCCTTGCACTGATGGAGCAACAAAAGGGCCTTTGAAAGCACCTCTCACTGGGGTGGAATGCAAGGGCCATGGTCCACCTGGAGTGTTCCTCAATACAAACTATGTTCTGTGATAAAAAGCAACATGAATAAAACAAAGTGTTTATAACTACTTACACATGGAACACTCATGGCCATCGATCAGCCAAACAGCATGAATCTGTGAGCCAAAAGAAGCATTCAATCACATTAATTTCTTTAGTTAGATAATTAATTAACGTTCCTTTGTTGACTAGAAAGAAAGAAAGCGTATTTCAGACAAGAAAAGCAGTCTGCGATACCTAAGCACTTAAATCCCCCCCCAAACTGCATCCTACTCCTAAAACTGAGATAAAGTTCAGTATGGGAAGAAAGTATTATGTTGATTTATGCCCTGATTTACTATTGCTGGTTTCAGAAGAGCCAACAGCAGAGCAGAGAATAGTTCCAATAGCATTAGACTGGCACAAGGTTCTGCATCCTTTAACTATCTGTGACACACATCCCTACCCTGCCCTTTTTGTCAGTCAAATGAAGTAGAATTTGGCTAACATGCAACTTGAATATTGGTCAGTCATACATTGGTCAAAAAATAGATTGGACAAAATAGTCAAATCCCTGTCAATTTTGAGCCCTAATGATTGCTTTTACAGCATCCTTACAAGGTGCTCTAAAAAATACCAGCAGTCCTTATGTTTCGCACATGCCATTGTAAGAGGGAAGCCACTCACTGGAAATTAAGTGCCTTTATTACCTATAGAAAGTGTAAGAGTGGAAAGAGCTGAAGAAGAACAGACAGTCCAAAGAAATAGAGGGTAAGATTAGGAAGAAACATCTCCCAAAACAGAAGCATAATTAAGCATCCAAACTGCCAATTAACAGTAAATAGCCAATGAGAGGAACATGTGTGGAAGAATACAAGGATGTGTGGGCAATTAAGAGGCTATATTGCAACTAAGCTTTATGCATAGAGAATTACAAGGTATTTAGCTTACTGAATCCCACTTAGGAACATGAAGTTCTGCTCAGTTCTGCAGGAGATTAGGCACCTTCAGATCTCTGACAATCGGGTTCAAGGACTGCTCCCACGAGACATCGGAGTCCGTGCCTCTCGAGCCTGTCTCACTGTGTTAGGCAACCAGAAGAAGGTTATGAAGCAACTCTTGATGCACCAGTGACTCAGAACAAAACTCTCACTCTACCATAAATACATTTAATGTCCTACACTTAGGGCCATTTAATGAGACTCAGTAAAAACAGTTGTTTGGGGGAAGGGAAGTTAAGGCAGTTTCTTATTCTGACCTTATGTACAGGTTCTGAAATTTCCTCTGTAAAGCTGCCAGCCTTTCTCCACACACAATTTTCATGTACCATTTCTGTTACTATAGAACATGTAAGCCCAGGCTATGGATCAGTCCTACACAGATGGAAAATAAAAAAAGATGTCCACACACCTGATGCAAGTCATGCAAGCCAAACAGTATCCACAAGATAATTTTTAAAAATTTTATTCTCTTATAGCTAATTGCTAACATCCATAGAAGAATTATAAAAAAACATTCTTCAGATCACATTTGAACAGGTTTAGAAAGGAGAAATATGCATCAAACCACAAGGAGAAATACAGATTATTATACTATTACATATTTCACATAGACAGGAGAAACACCTTCTTTGAAAGCAGTGGGGATTTTTCCATAGCTAGATAAAATGTATTCCATGCAAATTACTTACAAAAACTGAACACATGGGAACCACTCCAGTAACTACAGTCTTGGAGGGCTTTCTGTTACAAACACAAGAATATGTCTGGATATCATTTATAACACATACTCCCTGGCAATAATTTACCCTTCCACTCAAAAACCTTGTATAAAGGAACTTCCCTGTTACCACACAAAAAAATCAGAATAACTTCAGAGAGAGCAACAAAGGAAATTTGCATCTGACACTAATATCTTCGTAGGGTAAAGTATATTTTAATGAAGATATTGTCAGCAATACATGTGTTTATGATTCTTTTTTCCCTTCACACTTGGAGTTTATTTCATTTATGTCATGATTTACCTTGCAAGTTTAAGAAATGCATCATTTATTCATGACCTCTACTTTCTTTCAGAACCTCTCAGGTGCACAGAAGACCAGGTTAAAGAAAAATCAAGTAGTTTGTCTGATAACAGTTAGTGTCAAAACAAACTGTGTATTTGAATTTCTGTTAGTGAAATCATAATTAAAAAAACCCAGCCCAAAAAACAGTGCTTGCTTTACCTTTTTTCAGAATAAACTCTCATAATTAAACTTTCTACTTTTCCAAGTAGCTGACTATGTATTCCTGCACAGCAGGAGGTTTTCTCCACAGACATATTGACTTGGACAATAAACAAAGCAAAAATCCCTGACTGGAATTTACAGCTAAATTTAACCATGCATATTGTTAATAAAATTTGCATATAAGTCTTTCAACATTAAGAAAAAATAAAAGTTGAAATTAAATGAATTTGGGCACTGCATTCCTTTGCAAGAAAAAAAAAAATGAGATTTAAGTTGTAATTTCCATATTTATTGAGGCTGTACGTCAAAAGAAATCTGTGGAAAAAAAATCCTGGTGCTGCCTTGATGACATTTGAAAGATGACAGCATATTAATAGTAAAGGAGCTTCTCCTTAGCAAATGTGGCTTAAACAGTACCTATAAAACACTGATTAAGGGCCACAAAATTTTAGAAAACATTTCCAGCATCTCTTATTTCTCTGTCCTTCAACCACAAAACAAGTAGAAGCAGTTAAGATGTTTTGAAGAAATGTCACCCACCCTTTCCCCTTAGTGTCAACTTTCCCCATGAAACATTAATAGATCAGTCAGCACTGACTTTTTACAATTAAAGGTGGTAAAGAAAACTTCAACTGATATTTTTTCATTGATTTTTTTGTCACAACACTGCATCACCACTAGCCCTCTAAAGCCATGAGTTACCAGTAACAAACATTCACCTTCTACTTTTAATTATTGTGTCTCTTTTCATAGCATCCTAGACATTTGGATGTCTTAGGGATTTGAGTTAAAGGCATTAAGGTTTCTAGCTCCTTTAAAACTTTACCTGGATCTGCCTAGCCACAAAAAGTAGAAAATGCATTGCAGTTCTGCCAGCACAAAACCTTCTAGATAAGCACAAATACTTCCCACTAAAGAGAGAAGATCATACTCCTTTGAGGTACTTTTCCAGTACAAAAGCTGGATGTATTCCAGGGATTAAGCTTTTGCTTGGGTGGTTTGGGTTTGTTTTGTTGGGTTTTGTTTTTTTTTTAATTTAACTGAAACTGAATTTTTATCAGTAAAGCTCTCATTAAATTATGAAAAAATGTTCACATTACCACAACATGTACTTTATGGCTTTTAATACTTGCACTTGCTCTGGGCAGGATTTCAAGGGCACCTTTAACCTCTGCTTGAGTCTTCACAGTTTGGCTACTCCTAAATTGGAGGAGTGAGAGGGCAAAAGTGAGGAACTTGGCCATCACTAAAGGCATTGCAGCTGACTGTGCAAATAAGTGGCCCAGTCATTCTTTTCTTAGGTTTCAGGTGAAACAAACAACCATTAACACCCTGGTGAGATGCACAGATCAGCTCCCACCTCTCAAAGCACTTCTAGCACACACCATAGGCCTGGGCAGGAGATCTCTGAACCCTGCTCCTGAATTTTTCCTTCAAGTATAGCTACAACGTTTTTCTTTTCTAATCAACAAGCCGTGCTGTGAGGGAAGTGCACTACAACAAGCACCTCCAGCACTCAGGCTGTGGCTATAAACAGCTTCATGTCATCACAAGGTCTAACTGAGACTGTAAAACAGCATGGAACCCTCCAGAGCACCCTCTTGTGAGATCCATGTGCTGCAACGTTACTTCAGAAATTTTTTTTTTTTTGGAAAATGCTGCATTCAGATATGGTGTGACAGAGACAGCTGAGGAAGTGCAGGAGTAATTTAATTCTGCAAATGTGCAATAAAAACCAGGTAAATAACCTCAGTGACACAGAGGAAGTCATCAGCGTCCTATCTGCATTCTGGTCCGATCATAGGAAACCAAAAAACTACAGGAAGATATGACTTTTAGTGAGGTTACCCACGAGAAGCTGAGAGCTCACTGGGATGTGTTCATGACATCAAGGTCAGCAGAAGTCAAGGATCACAATTCTCCAAACACAAATTGCTGAGCAGCAGCCCAAGCCAGCAGTTAAACATTGCAGAATCAGGCACTGAAATTAATGAGTTAAAGATTAATTCACTCACAGACTGTGTGTACATGGTCACCTCATGGGGCCATCACCAGCAAGACAAGAGATCTTCTTAGAAGAACTGGCTCTACCAGAGGCTAATTAACAGATATGCCGACTGTAAATAAAAGCAGGAGGTGGTAAACAGAAAAGAATAGAAAGTTTGATGGGGCTCCCAACAGATGCTGTGTGTCAATAAACGTCAGTTGAAACTTAGATGCTGCTTTTGTGCTCTCTTAAGGAAATCATTATAATCACATTATTCTGTAACACAGTCTAGCCTAATCTCCATGCCTCATACTAGAGAGGATATTTTTGATCAACTAGACAATTGTTAATTACAAAACCAAGCATCTTGAAGCTATTTTGTTTTACATGCAGAATGAAGCAGCTTATTTAAAAGTGAAAATTATTACATTCACATTTACTACCCATAAAACTAACAATGCCCATAAAGCTAACAACTATTTCTTATATCCCAGACCAGATTAGTGACTCTTGTAAAAATATGGTTTGCTTCAAAAATGCCAGTCAGATAGCACAAACATATCTACAAAACAGACAAGAGACTGATACATACAATGACAATTGGGCTTTTTAAGCACAGAAACAGATACTTCAGTTTATCCTCATAATTTCCTAAATCTGTAGATGTATGCCTTAACTCTGTGTTTTGACATTAGATTCTTTATATATATTGCACTACAGCATTTGCCTTCACTGTCTATTTCACAAATTTTCTGACAATAAAGGACTCTCCACAAGGAAAACAGTTTTAATAGTACTGAGCACTTTAATGATGGTAATATTCATTGTCCATTCTCTGCCCCACACCCCCAAAAGTTAGCTCCCATTACAAACCAGATTTTTTTGTTTCCTAATCTTCTCTCCCATTTAACAGCCAGATTTGACAAACCTTTGCTCAAGCAAACAGACATTTTAAAGTAACCAGCATCACTGACAGGAAGACAGACTATTTTGCATGAGAAAGTTTACAGGATGTAATCTTCTCTTTTCCTTGAAGTTGAAGTAATTACTACCTAGTACTGAAATGAAAGAAATTTAATAGTGTCAGTCCAATTACTTGTGAATACATGTTTATTTTGCACCCAATTACTCCCCTCAATTCTTCCAATTTCAAGAGTGGACAGATTTGGTAACTCTGTTTGCTTCTCAGTTCTTGACATTATCATAAAAATTCTGATTAAGGCATACAAATTATGTGAGAGAAGTTGCACTTTTCTGCCATTCTTGACACACTTTAGAGGCAGGATTACAATATCTTCTTTCACTTCACAAAATTTCCAAATTAATTTTAATAGAATTTACATATTTTTACTGCTTTTCTGAGAAAATTACTTTTTTTTTTTTTTTACTTTTTCCAACTCATGAATTCTAATGTACTAAAATTTCTTCATTGTACAATGAATATTTGAAGTCATGCCAATTGACTGTGGAGCACTATGCTTCAGAAAGTATTTAGATTCCACTCATGAGCAGTTGGCACCATATGAGCTCACTCTTGTGCTTCAATATTGTGCTTTCCATTCTCTGTTGTCCTGCCACATTTTGGGTTGATGAATGTATTTCTCAACAATACTCAAACTATTTTTTTTTAAAATGTTGCCTGGCTATTCTACTTTCTCACTAATATTTATTTTAAATAGTTCTAAAAGGGAAGTTTTAGTACTAACAATGTACTAGAATAAAATTTTGCTGACAGAAATCTGAATAAAAAGTGTCTGCCATGTCAGGAAAAGAAATAAAAGAGACCCCACCTATTTTGGTCAATATAACACCCAGGTAAATTTAAGCACACAGGCGTAAAACTAAATATATCTGCTTTTGGGAAATCATAAAAATTCCAAAGCATTTAATAAAAATATAGAAAATAAAACCCCCTGCTGTTTTACTAAGAGTATGTTCCTTTACAGATTTGATCATTAATGCCTGTGAAGACTTAAACAGAATAGCATTACTTAGTAGTCATGAACTAAGTTAAACTACCATGAGAACAAAGTTAAGAGTATCTGGAAAGACATTTCTGTAAAGCTGCTATGATACCAAACAAGCAATAAAGAATATCAACTTTTGCTTAGGAAATGCCACATGTTGCCAGTTGGTGGTAGCTTCTGGCTACAAACTGCAGTCTGACACTGAGCAAATGACAGAACATAACACATACTGAAACTAATGCAGATCATACTAACAATTTTCCTCCCTGATTTTTAATATTTGCTTTGTTTTCTCTTCTTATCATAATACAAGGTCCAGTGAATTTTGCAGGAGTCTCACACTAATGTTCTACCCACCAGTTTTGGAAGAACACACAAAAAGGTTCATAGTTGTATTTAAGACACAGTTGTTGCAAATTCTTACTACTATAAAAAGCAACAAAGGAGAAATGGAAGCTGCAAAACCTACTTAAAAAAAAATCAACAGAATGCTTGAGACTCCAGAATCACAATCTATTCAGACAAAATTTTCTATTCCTATGCTCATATATTTAGTGATTCACTTTCACTTTTCTCAGTGAAAAAAAATTAATTTTTGATAAATTTTGCCGAGTTCTAGATGGCCAAAACCCACAGTTACTCATTTGTCAGCGTACTTCTCCTCGTCCAAGGATGACTATTACAATTCAGATCAAAGGTCCATTTAGTTCAGTATCCTGCTTCCAAAAGCAGTCAGTGATAAGTCAGAGTGAAGAGAGCATGAGCAAAGAAATCAAATACAGTATTTTCCCAGAATAACTCTTTAGCATTTCAACTATACTCCACTCAAGAATTCCTGAGACTAATGTAATTTATCTATTTATCTTGTCCAGTGGACCCTCTCTTTCACTTCTCCAGTTATCCCTTCAACTTACATAAACTTTTGTATCCACAGCCTGCCAAAGCAAGGCTACCCTGGGTGAAGAACTAGGAACTGTATTGTAGTGTCCCTGTTTTGTGCACAGTCAGTACACACTACTCACATTTCCTTACTAAAACACAGACAAAATAGAACTCTGAAAAAGCAAGATTGAAAGAAACCCTTGAAAGAAACTGAGTTTGCATATACCCAAGTGAGTGGAGTCCAGTGGGAATTAGCATTCTGGACACAGTAAAATGCTGCAATGGCAAGAGTTATAACAAGGTTGAATATAACTTGAAAAGCAAGCAGATGTCATAAGTGAAAAAACAGACACCCTAACAAAAGCAGCCAAAAAACTCTGCAAGCCTCCCTCAGTCCAACAACCAAATTCTGATCCAAGGAGGTTAAATATAGGGCTGCTTGAAAATTTTCCACTGCATCTATTTTTGATGGGAAATGAGGCTTTCAGCTAAACACTTTCTGGTTGGATTGTTTGGGGGTTTTTGGCATGTCTAAATATGTGCTTCTGCAAGTATACTTTTCTTACCAAAAAGCCAAACTTATCAACAAAAATATTTTGATTGAAAACATAGTATGTTATTAAGAAATGCTAGTGTAGCATTTCATTGTATCTCTAGCTTACCTGCTTTATGTGGCAGATCTCTATCAACTAGACTTACCATTTAAATGAGAATTCTGATGATAGATCACTTTGAGGGATTCCCCATTTCCAGCATTCCCTTCAAAGAGGAAAGATCATGGCAGAATGTCAAAGGTGGCAGGCAGCCTCAGCCTTGCAGAGCAGGGCCAGCAGGCATCCAAGTCATAATGTCTGAGGAGGACTACAGTAACATTTTTCAAACCCAGAAGTTTTAGTTTTCAGACAAAGCCTTCCAGTCCTCTGAATTTTGTCAAAGCATGTTGTGTTTCCTGGAAAATTAAGACAAAAAAGAAACAAAATAACTTTTGTATTTTTTTATCGAAAATTCTTGCAGGAAATTTCATGGGTCATGAAAGGTCTTTCTTACTTGTTAACCTGCAGATTCAAACCTATCACCTAGACCCATCCACCCACAAATCAGAAAAAAGTTAAACAGCAGTAAAATGTTTAAAGTTTTCCATCACATTTCTGTTAGCAGGACTGTTCAAAAGCCAAACAGCTAAACCCAAACAAAAACAGACTTCAATGGATGTGATTACTTAATGTATGAGCCCTAAGTTATAAAAGACCAACCAGCATACTTTACAAAAGCAAAGGATGAAGATAAGATTCATACAATGCCTACACTTACTAGGAAATCTGTAATACAAAAATATGTATAGCAAAATTAGCAAAGTGGCAAGAAAATAAGATACTCCAGTTATTATTCCCTTTCAGGGTTCTCTATTTCAGTGAGTACACCAGAAGGAATAAATCCATTAAGATTAATACAATAAAAAGTATCAGCTATCCAAACATAGCTATTATCATCCCTTTTCTTGGAACACCACAATCCTCTCGAAGAATTGAAAGCTTTTCATCCAAAACTAGGCCCTGACCAGACCAAGACAGAGAAACACTCAACTAATACTATCAGGAAAAATGATACAACTAAATTTCTAGTATTTCTCTCCCCTTGTGGCTGTTTCCTGACATACAATCACAACCCCTCACCCCAACGGCAAAATAAATGTATAAAGAAAATAAATAAAAGACAAGAAAACAATCAAGACTGCACCTTTTGTAACACTGCTGTGAACCTACAAGAGACAACTGCAGAAATTCTCATGCCAGTGGGGTACCTCTTTCTTTCTCCTCACCATACAGAGAGGACTATTCCTGCCACCATTATGCCTACTAAGAATCAAGAAAATTCAAAGGAACTGGCAAAGAAATTTCCATATTTTAGAACTCAGTGAGTAGAAGGAAAGGAAGGACATTTTGCTATTACAGTGAAATTCCTTTCAACACCTTGCTTTTTAATGGCACCATTCTTTTACTAAAATAAAAATAGAGAAAGGTTTTCAGCAGTTTCTGCTGAGACCAGGCACCTGAGAGCTCCCTATAAGCAGTTCCAAACACTGCCTAATGCCAATTCCCTACAAAGTGTTAATATCTTTGACTGTCTAATGTTATAAACTGAAAAGTGCTATCACAATTTGTCATTCTCAAGGCAAATTTATTCATCAAAATTAGTACAAGCCCAAGCATGCTGTCCTTACTCATATTTGGAATAACCAACCACTGTTGTCCCAGCAAAATTGGTACGGTGAAGGACTAGTCAGCATCTAACTCTGGAGATAAAAAAAAATGCTTAGAATAAATTAAATAAAAAGAATAAATATTAAAAATCAATGATGAATGATACATCTGCTATTTCAATTTTATCTCCTGGGCAATAAGTAATTTCAGTAAGAATTTTTCAGTGTGATTTTTATCATTCAATATTTTAAAAATTACTACTGGGCATCCATCAAAAGTTAGGATTGGAAACAGTGAAACTTAAAAAATGTCTACTTCAAACATATGCAAAATAATATTCCCTTAACTCATAGTTTCACTAACCTCCAAGGTGCAAAAAATGGCATCAAAATTTATGACCAACTTCATATTGTTCAAGGATTTAATTACATGTTTCTCTTCAAATCAGTTATACAATTTGCTTTCTTATATCCAGATTTTAGTCTTATCCATGCCTTTCAACACAAAGTGTATTTTTTTCTTCACTTCACCTCTTACTCATAACCACATCACCTCTTTAGTTTCTCATTTAATTTACAGTATATGAGAGGGCATATCTGCAAGCCAATGTCTCCATGTAGCTTATGCAGAAGTTTTTAGCTCAAAGTGGACTACACTGCTTAATTTTGTCTTTGCATCAGCCTTCTTCCACCAGGAGCTGGCACAGCGCTACACACAGGATTTCCTGCCAGGAGTCCCACAGCTGCATGAGTGTGGCAACTGAGCCATCCCAACTCTGACTTCCCCTGCATGAGACAGCCCTGCACTCCCCACCTCCTCTGCTGTGCCTCTTTCCTTCGCCCTGTCAGTACCAATACTCAGAGTATGCACCCAAACGTGGATTAAGTAACAAAGTCAAGGAGGTCAAGTTAATGGATAAAGTCCCCTTAATTCCCCCAGAAGCTATGACATCAAAGTCCACGTACCTGCATGTCATACAATCTTAAGGCCAGGTGGGAGTTGTAATTTGGAAGATGCCCATCCCAGGTGGCCACACCCCAGACAGGTAGTGCAGGGGGCCATGCAACAGCAGTGGATGTTTATTTACCAGAAGCTTTGCAGGGGTTTATACCCAAGCTGTTAAAACCGAGGTCTCCAAAACTGAAGACTGACCAAATGGACTTCCCAACCCATGCTGGCAGTAGTGATGGTGAATGTGCCATTCAAGCATTTATGAGCATTAATTACATTTTGACAGAGCATGGAGACAGAATCACAAACATGACTGCAGGAGTCACTGGTGTGCCAGAGGCCTGGACATGCTTCCTTTTTGAGAAGAAAGTGATGCATGTTTATATTCTCATATTAAACCCCAGAGACCAAGGAGAGATCCTTGCCAGCCTGAATCCACATAACCTTCCTGAGATTCAGGAGTGCATTTACATACTAATGTTCTAGCAGTGGCCCAAAAGTAAATTCATGGTTACCTTGGTGATCAGAGGAAGACAACACTACTCACTATGTCCATACATACCTTACATACATTATGATTAGCAATGTAACTGCATAAAGTTTGTGTTACTCTCCAAATAGGATGACAATGGATCAATGGACTACTTAATTCAGCACAATTTGCTTTCAAGTCACATGATTTATCGTGTGTGAAACATCACACCATGAGGTATTACAATCTGTAGCACAACTGCATTAGAAATGCACCTTGCTAAATAATGGTGGGAGGAAAAAAATAATATTATGAAAAAAGTCCTCAAGAACACATTTTCCTTTACAGTCTTTATAATCTGTATTTTCTTGCATTCCCTCCTCCTGCATTGCTTCAGTAATGAGAAATGAAGCAATATACAATTACACTGAGAGAGCAAATATTTTGTAGCCCAATCACCAACTGTACAGTGTGAGAAAACAGGACTAAAGCCCTTCAATAAGAGCTCATCTTATATTGCTCCCATGCTAAACTGCTGTTCCCACCAGTTCCTTATGCTCACTCTGCTGCTCATACTCCTTCTCTAACGAAGCCCATGCACTCAACACAGCCTCAGGAAGAAATCCAACCATGGTCTGCTTCTGTTCAGCAGAAAATCCTCCAGCTACATTCAGGGTCACAACCTGCAGTTCACCATTGAAGCAATCCTCAGCGCACAGCACTGATAATCACTTTGTCATCATCCTTTATGGCAAAGGGACAGCAAAGAACACTTCCAGAAGTTTCTCCTCCCCCCCGTCACCTGCTCTTCACTCCAGGAGTAGCTATTGCAGCACATTGTATTCAGGCTATTTTCTTGTTGCCTGAAGTCTCTCTCATATCTCACTGAACAACAGTAGCATCATGGTACTGTGCCCAACCCCAATCAGATCTGACATGCCTGAAAAAATGTAAGCAGAACATTGTTCTTGCCTACAAAAAGTTCTCATGAATCACAATAAAGTACAGGCTGACTCAGAAGATGTTTGAATGCCATTTATTTATTTATTTTTGTAAAAGGAAAAATAGCAAAGATAGATATGCACACTGTGTTCTCCCATCCCTATTTTTCTTTACGTTTCACAGCACTGGATTTTTGTTCATAATTTGTGCTTTTCAGACTTGCAGAAGTACAAATCAGTCAGTTCCTTCCCATACTTGGATGTCCCATCCTGTAGCTCAGTTCTAGACCACGTGGCATGTGAGAGAAAAGGATAGACTGGAAAAAAAAAATAAAAATAAAACAAACAAACCAGTTTCCTTTACTTTTAGTTGGAACTTTTTAGGGTAAAGCTGAACACAGCAAACAATTCTGCCTTCCTGTGTTTACTAAATGGCCTGTAAAAATACTATTTCTTCTTGCTCCTATTTATCCTGTCCTCAAAAAGATCCACAGTTTCTAGTTTCATGGTGTTGTTCAATGTATTGTCCATGCAAAATCCCCTATGTCTTGCAGCTAACCAGCACAGTCTCTGCACAAAGCTCTGTGGCCTGTGATAGGAAGGAGATCAGCCTAGCCAGCCCTTCTGGGTTTAATCCATGAAATTACTGCCTTCACTCAAGGCTTCATTCTAACAAGATTATTTGAACAATTTCCATGGACCAAGTTCTTCTTTTCAAACATTTTCATAAAAGCACCATTCAGTGACCTATCCAATGCAGTCAATGCCACACTAAAATTTACTGGAGAACACTCAGTGGGAATTAAAAAGCTGTTTTTTTCAAATCCTACAAACTAAGAATCTCTATTTTTACATAAACAGAATAGCATGTTAAATCCAAGATTTCATGTGGCATTTTTATTTCCAGTTAAAAAAAACCCAAAAAACAACAAAACAAACAAACCTGCCCCCCCC